GCCGCGCGAAAGGGCACTTGGCAATTAATAAAATTTAATTACTGCTGATGTGTGTGCGCGAATTTTACTGTTTTTTATCAAACGATACCATTGGACGTAATAAATTAAATACTTGCTGAGGCGGCGCGACGTTTTTATTGTCATCCGCGATAATTTATCACAACGGCTGAATGGAGTCTGGCCGTGCATAAAGTGTGGGCCTCCACCTTTCTGCTGCTCGTGACTGATGCATGTTTATTTTATTCAGAGAGCTCGACAATGCAGCTCCATTTTTTATGTGGATCGCCACGGGCGACAAATTCTCTCGAGATATTGCAAGCCCCCTTTGGCGTCGTACTAGAAAATTGCTGTGGAATTATGTATGTGCAGGAGCGTAAAACTGTGTTTTTTTCCTTCACCATTCTCAGCATGAAGAAAAAATTTATGGAGTCCAAAATCCAATCTATTTTGCTTCATAAAATGTTAACGGTTTATTGTTTTTTATGTGTATCTACTTTGAACGCGTGTAATCTAAAAATAAATAAAAATAATATTAAAATTTTTAATTATCAAATGACCTTCAATTCGTATTTTCATTATATCTTCTTTTAATTCATAAGTTATAATCATCTTAAATTAATATGTTTTGTAAATAAATGCAAAAAAATTTTAAATTAAATTTTTAGTATAAATTCTTATTATTGTAGTCATTAAGTTAAAAAAACTTCTGGTTATGTGAAATGTAAATGTGCAATAGGAGAGATTGAGAATTATTTTGATATAATTATTTCGAAACTACAAATTTTTTTACTTGTATCTTATCTAAATGATCTACCCTAACTATAATTTTTTCATTTCATTAAATAATTAATTAAACTGCAAGATATCTTCTATAGACTCGAGTTTCCTTTCAAGAAAGGGAAAATGTCGCGTGCTTGCGAAATAAAATTCGAGCCTTATCTAGAATTTTCCGCAAATAAGGTCACGCGACGAACGGGCCAACTTGGAAAAAAGGAACCTGTTTGTTTACGGCTAAAGAAAGGGTGCCGACGCTGGCTCGCCTTCTCTCCCTAAGCAGATTTTCAATGAAAAATGCTGACGCGGAAGTAACACTGGCGCCGCCAAAACAACAAAAGTCATAAAGCATTTCGGCTCTCGGATCGATGCGGCGGTGATTGATAGTGCTCTGCTGGCCGTTCTTACTTAGTTACGTTGAAGCTAGGCGTATCGTGAACTCTTGCAGCACAAACACATACGTACACGTCAAGTACAGTCAGCAATTTTGGTACCAGACGCTTTTCTATCGACAAATGTGTCTTCTACGAAAACGTTGCCCCAGGGAGCAGGTAAATCAAGATTTATACTAATATAATCATATAATTTGGTTATAGTTGACAACTATTGTACTTTATGAATAAATTAAAATTTAATTTTTATTTATTTTTGCAAATTTAAATAATTTTATTTACTGAAAAAATTAATAAATAAACCTCTAATCAATTTTTCAGCAAAATTTGATGCCGATTTGAATTTATGAAGGAATTTGTATTCGTTTCAGAACTTGTTTTTCTTGCTTGCAGCTTTTGATATCCACTATCTTTCTCTTATTCAGAAAATTAAAAAAAATTTGATATTTAATTGTCAGGGAAAATGTAAAATAGATAAACAAATTACATACCTTAAGATAAAAAATAATTAAAATCGGTTAAATTTGCCATCCTAAATTTTTATATCAGAGCGAACCATTAATAAGCAGTTATTTTCGTCTGGGGGGCACTGCCCTTGTTTGCACATCATGTTATTCGAGGACCATTCATAAGTGGAGCGGTACGAATGTGTTCTTTTGGAGATCAAGTTTATTCAGCACTTTTTTTGTTTATGGAGTACTTCCTGGAAGCTTTTCTTGAGAAATCAACTAAAAATGAGAGACATTTCTATCCCCTGTGTCAGTAGGCCTGTGTGACCCTTCCCAGCGGACAGATAAAAAGTAAGTAGTCGCAGACAAAAGACGACCTTTCACAATAGCAGGCTCGCTCGCTCTCTCTCCAAACAATACGTGGCGCAAATATGTCTTTAATGCCAACGTCCCAGTTGCAAAAACGGGAGAAGCTCACATTTTGATTATTTTCTCATTCGCTGATACGTGCGAAAGCGACCGTTGCTACAATATGACAGGTGCAATAAATATATAAAGAGCGATGGAGGCGCGTGACTGGAAGGGCGGAAATAAAGCCCAAGTGCCGCAGAACTCGGCCAACCTGCGCACCGCAATGTATTTCCACTGCAGCGCGAAAATTTCCTGCCGTGCCTTTAGAAGCGATTCAAATGCCGTCCGAGCAGGGAAAGCCTATTTTATGAAGCAATTTTCCCGAGTTTGTGGGCCGTCTTCGTTCTACTGACACGTGCGCGCACACACGCCACACCACTTTATTAAGTAATAAAGAAATTGATACCCCAGAGAGGAAGGCGGCAGAGAGAAATAATCCCAAAACACATCGGAAAACAAAACGAGGTGCCAGTCTATACAGAAGAAACGCTTCTCCACCGGTTATTTTTGCCAGCCCAAAATAATTCTTGCTTGTTCGAATCAGCGAAAAGCGGCTTTATCGATTTTATCCTGATGTCTGCTGGCAAAAGTTATTACCTTCCTTGATTTTTTCTTAACTTAAATATTCCCTTATGAATTATACAATTTTTATAAATTAAAAATTGATTTTTATCATAACCATACTACAACTAGTTTCACTTTATTCGGATTAATATTTTTATTAATGTTGAATAAATTATATTGGCTAATTATTTCAAATAAATTATTACAAAAAAATCTTTATCTATATGGTATGTCCTTAATTTTGTACAATTACTAAAACTCTTTCTGCAGAATCCACCATGTAAAATCGTAATATATGATTTAAAAATTTTTTTGCCAGTCAAAATTGTCATAACATCCTCTGTAACGATTTTTAAACAAAAATTGTTGAATCGTCGAAATTGAAGGTATATCCAAGCTATTCTTTTTTAAATTCATATTCTTGTGATTTGCAAAGAAAAAGAGGGAAAATTTTCATAACCGTATTCCTACAAGATAAAACAAACAGTTTCTTGTTGATATAAGTCAACGACATTTCCACGTAAAAATGGAAATTTCCCGTCTGCTTTCGGCAATAAATGTCTCATCTCAGTCAGCCTTGCACGTTCTCACGTGATATTTGGACAGCTGCTTCTGCCGCCGGTCCAAAATGAACTCCCTGGTTTTTGCTCTCGCTGGCGCAAAGTCAATTTCAGCAGAGAGCACGTTAGCATGTAGGTCTATCTGAAGCCCATTTGCAATCGGTTGAGCAGAAAGGTCCGTTTAATTACTGCACACAAAAAGCGAACCGGAGGTAATAATGTATAAATGAATTAGCCACAAAGCAAGAGACACTGAGAGAGGGCTTTCGGCCAGGATGAGAAGGATAAAGAGGTTCTCATCTTACATTATATAGAGGAAACGCGCGTGTGCCTCCACGCTCTTTTTGCTCCATAGAACAACGACATCGAGTCCGAAGAGGAGGAGAACAGGTTGGGTTCCCAGTATCATTTGTATGTACATGAACTGAAGCGCATTATGAGCTTGGATTACCGTCCATAGAACGACCGTGAAGTTGGCCACTTTTTTTAGCCACTCGCCTGAACTTGGCCACTTTTCCGAGCCACTCGATTTTCAATGTTGCCAACTGAAATGAATAATGAAATCAGCTATCAGCTGGCTGCGGCCAGTGAGTCACAACACTCGCACATGAGAAGTTGTCCAATTTTTGATTTGTATTTAATTATTCATTTAAAACATTTTGTGTGATGCATGGAATCAATTTTTTGTTGTTTCCTTATTTTTGGTGAGTTGAGACTGACTAAAAATGGTAAAAATGTAGTGCACTTTATGACATGTATGTAGAAATTGCTATTTTGTTCAACCTATATAATACCACATCATTTTATATTCAAAATCCGGCAAAAAGAAGTGAATAAAAATAGTTTTTATTTCAATTTGTTATAAATTTATGACTTCACTTAAATTATGCCTTACTATTTTTTATCATAATATAGCCTTTTATTGTAGCAAAGAATGAAATCAGATTTCTTAACTTTTTTGTTTACATGTATTATTTTCACTTTTTTTTATACAGAATTCCCTGTTGTCTGCCCTTGCCAAGACGGTCCAAGCTTCATCCAAGCAATTGTCAAAGTATTTGGAGCCTGTGAAAAAGATTTTTGAAACTGAGAGCAACATGACAAGTATAGTTTAAGGTGGTTTAAGGCAAGTATGCATCTTTTAATTAAATTATATTAAAATGATCAAAACGTGATAAGGGCAATGGATTTTTTTGAAGCAGATATGTTATGTTTTTAAAGACAACATATATAACGCTCACAAATTTATTATGTAATAATTTGTATTTATAAGTGTGGAGAAAAGAAGAAAAAAATTGAATTAACAATAATTTTATTTGTGATTTTTGCAGAACTTATTGCATTCCTCGCAAAACGGTAGTGTGGAAGCCGTGTAGGCTCTGTATGGGAGGCGCTAGCTGTACCATGCTAGTTCACCACAAGCTGGACAAACCTTTGTGCTTTATTTTTGACATTCGTCTCAGCCAGTCCGAGCCCTCCTCTTTTGACTGTCGAAGGTAATCATTTGAAATAAAGTTTCACAATTTAGAGATATCAAATATCAATATGTCTTTTAAATAATTTAGTTTAGAGAATTTTAGTCACATTTCTTATATGGTACCAGAGATATTTGTTTTTATTTACCAATAAGCACATGTTTTGCTTGCTTCCAGTCTTTCCATGAGGGTTCGGCTACCAAGTGCAAGCCCACTGCCATCATTGGTAAAATCTTACCAAGTATCGAGCATTATGAAAACTGGCACGGAGGCAGAGAGCGCCGTCGCGAAAATTTTGCAGTCACCATTAAAAGGCTTGCTTTTTAATTAAATAACTAATTTCAAAAAGTTGAAATTTCATCTTTCTGCAGCACTTGAGCGGCTTATTAATAAACGCTGGACGCCTGCACCTGCGCCAAGGACGCTCCTGCCACACCGCGGCAAACCGAGGGTCCTGCACCAAACTTACCGAGAGCAAGAAGCATTTGAGTGTCCAGAATGAAGACAACAAGAATTCTCCCTCTTCTCTGATATCCAAGATTTAAAAGGTCAGTGCCCTCTACGATATTGTCGAACAATTTTTATAAAATCTATTACCTCGGACATATGTTGCTCCTTGCTTATCAAATAGGCAAGCTTTCGATTAATTAATATTTTCATGCAAGCACAAAAATGAAATGAGTAAATCCCAATCAAACAGAGATCCGCCATTACAACTCAAGAACGCAATTTGACCCTCAAAATAGTCACAAACTGCAGTCCCAGGTTGCTTGGGCGGCCCCTGGTTAGGGACCAGTGCTTTTGCCGAATAAAAGCACTGAATTAATCTGTCATTTTCTCAAAAAATTTTCCTCGCGATTTTGCCATTTAAAAAAACTCCTTTTTAATAAAAAATAATTTGTCAGTAACAATAAAACTTATAAAAAATATGCAGGACCAAAGTTAATTTATCGACTATTCTTGCTATGAAGCTCACACAAAGCACATGAGAAGGGCTCCTCCGCTAATTTAACAGCAGTTAATTTCAAAGTTTTTACCAGGCAGTTTGTGTGATACCATCTGTCACAATGATCGCATTGCACCCACTTTTTTTTGTTTGCCTGCTCGTCGTAATCCATAGAATTGCAGACTAAACATAGATTTTGCACGCTCCACGAAGACTCTAAAATTAATTTTGCCATGTTCAAACGTTCATCTCTTAGATTTACTTTTCTGTCCGGTTCTAAATTTTGGATTTCAATTTTTGAAATATAGCAAACTGCAGGGCCGCAGCTGGAGGAATCGTCCTGCTGCGGGCAATCAATTTGCTGGAAAGTGTAATTTGACGCGTCATCTGTTGACAATCGCAATTCCCTGAATCGACAAAGAAAATTGGTTTTGATTTTATCCACCATTTGTTTGACATCTCCGTCATTGAAAAATCTCTTGATTGAGTTATAATACTTGATGCACCTTGATGCAGTGCAAATGACAAAGAGGGCAAAGTGACCATTTTTTAAAATTGGGAATAGGATTTTTTTATAAATTAGCAGTGCATTTTGAATAGCGTATGTATCGGTTGCCTCCAGCTTGGCATGTTGTTCTTCCGCAAACAAATATCGCATTGTCGTTTCGACCGAAATAGAAAGAATTTCTTGCTTCAAATCATATTTTTTCAGTAGCAAAAGGAGATACATATCAATATCATAATTGAACATCCAGGTATCTGGATTTAAAACATTTCGAAAACCGGAGATTGTAACTCTTGAATGTATGTGACTAATTTCTCTAGAGTCATGTAATTTTTTATCGTTTGCGCTTAGTTTGCCATAATCAGAATTCAGTTTTTTTCTCTGCCAACTGTTCAGTTTGTAATTGTCGAGCCGACCAAACAAGCAAATTAAGTAGTTATCATTTAAATTTTTACTCGGCTGGTAGTATAAGGGATCGGCGACCAATCCATTTTCCAAAATCGTGTGGACAGGTTGGAGTCCTTCCGACTTTCTAAATGAGTGGCGCCTTTGCAAGGAAACCCTGCTATTGATTTTATCTCCTTCCTCGACTTCACTTTCTACTATCGCGTCAGCTTCAAGTTCTGTTTGTAAATTATCAATCTCTAAGTCTGCGTTTTCTAATTTAGCTGCTGCTTCAATAGACAGACTTTCCTCCTCGATATCACTCAAATCTTTTTCTGCCGTACACATTTCCTCTATGTCGTCCACCGCTTTTTCTACATCTTTTTCCAACTCGCCTTTTAAGGCATTGAGAAGCTTAGCATTAAAATGTGTGGAAGCCACCAACTTTCCATCTGACTTTGACTTTGGTCTTCTCTTTCCCCAAATTTCCTCCGCGTTAGTGTCCTCGTCAGTTTCACTGGTTTTTCTTTTTCTTACAATTTTCAAACTCGCCGGGTTTTTCGTGTTATTTGTTGAGCGAATATTATGCTTGAACCGAATTAAAAGAGATTCGATGTACTTTCGACTAATTTCGATGTTGGAGTCTAGTGAGATGTTGGTCTTTTTTTCTAATAATTGATGCTTTCTGATTTTGTTGTGTCCTTCAACGGGAGCATTGCTGAATCTTTTTATTGCAAAATCTTTTGGAATTGTCATGGCCGTGAACATGGGAAAGTAACTCAAATATCGCTTCAAAATAGTTTTTGCAAATTCAACATTGTGATAAATATTTGTAGGAAATTTGTTGTCGGCCACAATTAGAGCCTCCACAGACTTGAAAATTCCCAAAAATTTTTGATAAAACGGGCTCTGCAAATACAGAGTTTTTGTTTCCGCTGAAATTAATATGTCGTCTTCAAAGGTAGTTTCCTTTGGCTCCCCTTCTATTTCGAACTCTGTCAAATCGGTGTCGACAGTTTTATTGATGAGGGAAACTAATTTTTCCTTGTAGAGGTCGTCACAAAACGGTGACAGAAGGACGACAAAAAAGTCGTTAATAATTTCTCTTCCATCCTCGAAATTTGAGTCGATAATTTTGGCAAAAACCTCCTTCACAAACTGCCTGGCTCTCGGGTCCTTAAATGATTTTTTGGAAAGTACGCACAAGTTTTTCATCATGTGGGCACAACACAAGTGAATGTGGGTCAGCGACTCATTTCGTGAATTTCTCGTCTTTTTTTCTGCAAGCTCAAAGCAGTAACGCAAATATCGAACCACTGTCATATTTTCATTGAAGCTGTACAGAGTGGCCTTGATTAGGGACCAACTAAAATCGACGACAATGTCTGTGAGAAACTGGCCTTTAAATTTATGTTTGATTTTGTAATCGTAGCAGAGTTGCCGTAAGGGCTCAGATACACTGACGTTGTCGTGTTTTTCCAAGAAATATTCAATCACCGGAAATATTTTATCTTTGTGTCTCACAACAATTGTGTAATAAAAATTTGGACCATCTCCAAATTTCCTGCAGATGCTCCCCGTAGCGTCAAAATAACCAATTTTATGCTTTAAAGCTGCAACAAGCTCCAGCTGACTCTTGCAATACAAGACACAGCAGAGCGGCCTGCCGATTTTTTGAATGAAATTATCTTCGCCCCCCTGTTCTGCTGTCTTTCTTTCATTTTCAAATTTCAAAACAACACTTGTGAAGTCGTCTGTGTGCAAGCGCTTCGATTTTTCAGACAAGCCCTCGCTTTTAATTTTTCTCACAACTGGGTCCGAGTAAATGTTGTGCGTGTAGCCTTCGGCAACCACGTCTTGGTCCGCTTTAAGCAATGCTTCGTTGATAACATTTTGCGCTGTATTGTGTTCGAGTTTCTCCTTGAGTCTCTTGCGCGCAAGACCACTGCAGGGCCGAGACAATTTTACATCGCCGTGATCAATTGTACTTGTATTAGTAAAAAAATCGAAAATAATATCCACTCCTTCCTGCGGCATTGCCTTTAGACGAAGAATGAATTTTCTATGGCAGTTCAAATGTTTGCAGTAGGAACGAATTTCGAGATATTTTGTCTTTCCAGAAAAAAACTTATTGTCTCTCATGATCATGCAACATCCTATCTTGAATTGCTCGGTCACTTTATTGACAATAATTGTTGGGTACGTGAATTTTTCCAATTTTAATTTTCCCTTCTTGACCGCTTTCATCGACTTCCAATCCTCGCTTGGAACAAACAATTTTCCGAGGCGAAGAGTACAATCGCCGAAAGACGTCGGCTTTTCTTTTATTTGAACATCGTCGTCACTGTCCTCTTCTTGGACATTGCTATTTTCGCTGAGTTGTCTTGCTCGTTTCTGACTGACTGCGCTTAGAACCGTAGCAATTGCTTTCTTTTCTTGCTGATAGGCAGCATCTTTCGAACATGAATTTTTCTTCTGGCTACTTGATTCCACTTTAATTCGCCATCTTTTAATGTCATCAGCGTTCCCCGTTAGCTGATACTCCTTGTATGCACGAAAACCTTGTTTCAAGTAATCAAGGAAAAATTTCAAATCCTCTTTGATTTTGAAGCTTGAAAAAATTGCCACTGCTTGACTGAAAGTATTAAAAATGTGAATGTTTCCGCAAAGCGCGTACACATAATAGTAAAGAAAGGCGCACTTGCTTTCGCAATCAGTTTTTGCAGAGCTCTGTGATGCTAATTTCCACTTTTCCAATTTAACGCCGAGTGCTTTGTAAAATTTGGCTCTCTTTCTAATTGTTGTCATTTCATTTGATTCGTTTCTCTGCGGCACAGAAATTCTATCCATAATCGAGATCAATTTCTCAAATGCTTTTTGCAACTCCACCTCGGTTTGTGGTACTTGAAAAGGAATTTGACACGGTGGCGTTGCATCCAAATCAAAATTAATATTGCTTGATGGCCCTGCAATGTGATCGTTGACATCATCATCGTGGCCAGATAAATCTAATCCGACTGCAGGAGCTGCAGGCTCTTTGCTTTTTATTTTATCACCTGTTAAGTAGTCTGCAATATCAGTACCTTCGCTCCAAAGGTTAAATAAACTTTCGTCATTTTTTTCTCTGTGAATTTGTTTTGCCAAAAAACCCTGCCTTAAGTATTTTTTCAAAAAAAAATTCAAATCATCACAATTTGCCTTGTACATGTTGAAATAATCTGAAATTTGTTCATAATTGCTCATGAACAGTTGATCTTGCAGTGCTGAAACTAAGTAAAACATAAAGAGGCATTTTTTTAGGCACTGAGCTTTTCCGCTTAAGCCATTAACATCAATTAGGGTCGCTAATTTCACCGCCCGGCTAAAAGGTGCCATGAAATTTCTAATTTTGGATTGGCGTTCCACCGTGCTCAAGCTCAACTCGGAAACACCCGGGCCGACGGAGATTTTGACCTTGGCGATAATTGATTCTAGCAGTTTTTTCTCCCTTTTTACATCGTCATAATTTTGGGGGATTTTTAGTGGAAGCTCACATGGTCTGATTTTTTCCATGTCATACGTTTTGTCATCATCCTCATCGAAAAATGAATTTTGAGGATCATTGCTATTGAAAAGCTCATCTTCAAGGGAATTTATTTTATCTGACTCTTTTTGCCCAGGTTGAGTCACACATGGGCCTAATTTAGCATTGCCAATTCCTTTCACTGTTGCCA